AACCCTACACCCTAAACCCTAAAACCCCAAAACCAAAAAGCCCTAATGTACGTACTTAAAGCATATCATGATCGATCTGTACTGGACCCTAAACCCTAAACCCTAAACCCTAAACCCTAAACTCTAAACCCATTATTATACTATAATTGAATAAGGACCCCCATAAAAAGTACTGGTACTTATTTTGGCCCCTACATTAAGTGAGGGCCTTACAGTCTTTTGGGTTTAGTATGGGGGTTTCCGAATGGAGGGGCCCAGATGTAGTACACCAAAATAATAGGTTCCTTATTCTAAGGATCCCAAAATCAGGCACCCCCCCTTGTTTCCGGAAGCTCCCATATGGTCTTTGGATTTGGTGTTTCATGGTTTGGTGATCTGGTTTGGGCTTTGGGGTGTTGTTTTGGTTCAGGCCCTGGGCTGCTAATTTAAGGTTTATGGTCTAGGGTTTTGGGTTTAGGGTCTAGGGGTCAGGGTTGTTTGGGTTTAGGGTCTAGGGGTCTAGGGGAACACAAGGTTGAAGCATGTCTGCGGGCCCCTTTTTCACGGAGCTTTAACGTTCGGTGCAATCCATGCTGCGCGTCCAAGCCTGTGAGGGGGGCGACAACACGTTGGCTGACAGAGACTTTAGTGTCGGGGGTTGTTACAGTTTAGTGAATCCAGTTAGTTAGGCTTTGGACCAAGGGATGCTTCTCTTCGATGCACCGTGCTTGCAGGTGCCACAAAATATAATCAGTGGGGTTGAGGACTCAAGCCCTTTGCTCCAGCTGGCACGCAGAAAGGGGGGGGGGGGGGGGNNGTTCTGTTGGGAGGTGGGGGGGGGGAGACCTGCCTGGCATCTGCGCGGGCCCTTCTTTTGCGCACTCTCTTATTGCCTTGGAGAAAGTTCAGAAGTGATAAAGTGGAGGACAAGATCCGGCCGAACCCGCCGAGCCACATTGGTTACCAATGCACCGCAATGCACGGAATATTGTGAAGTTTTCAAAATGCAGGATGCGCTTAGTCCGTCCCTTCGTCAATCTGTGCAAACCGAGTTGTCAACTTCCAGCCGACGTGTTTCTAGCATCCCTTGCCTGGGGAAGGTCCGAGCAATGGAGAAAGAGGAGGCTGCTGGAAAGCGAGTTCTGATCTGTTCAGAAACTGGTTATACATCAGCATGAGCCTCGGCTCTTGCACGGACATCATTCTCACAGAAGATTGCTGGCAGGCTCTTCCTTTCCACCTGACTCAGGCCAAGATGGCTTCGCTTCTTGGTGATCGCTTCAAGGCGAGAGTGGTGAGCCCGAGGATGAGCTTACGATGATTTAAAATTTACAGATTGCAGTAGGACAGAGCACAAGCACAGCCCTAAACCCCCAAACCCTGTAGACCTGATGTCGGGATCCAGCATGCAAGCACCAAGTTTGTTTAGGACCCAACTTTCAGGCTTGCGAATGCCCCCAAGATCACCAGCTGCAGTGTCCTGAAACTAGTCCTCTCGAGCTTTCTTTGGTGGAGGCGTACCCACTCCCGACGGAGAGCCAGGAGCAGGAAATTGAAGCAAAGCGCGACCCCCAAAGTCGGCGCTGTGTCGATCCCTGCATCCCTATACGGTACGAACCCAGGTTCGAGAACAAGAGGACGAAGGAGAGGTTACTGCATCCCAGAATCATCTTTGCCAATCCAGCGGCGGCTTTGCATGTCTACCAGCCATAGTTCTTGAGGAGATCCTGGGTGTCTCCTTGCGTCCCGTGGAAGTCTCCTTGCGAGACATGGCGGCTGCCGCGCTGAGGTGCTGCATGTGCGGCCTAGTTCCAGCTATGCTAAAGAGTGTTTTGCACCTGTTTTCTAAGCACTTCGCAGGCTGGGAATGGTAGAACGAAAGTGGTCATCCTAGACCGGATGAGCTATCGACTGGAAATGCTTGTGTGTGTATGTTTCTGTGCTAGCAAAGGTTCATCAAGAAAGCGGCCAAGGGATTTGGCAAGGTTACAGACATTATGACCGGCGCCTAACTGGACACTCAGTCCCTGACCCTTCCAGTTGGGTGCTTCAGACGGGACTCCTTTTTGAGGCCAGACAGCAGGAGCGTGTACCTCCTCGTGAGTGTCGTCTCCATCGGAACACCCGAGGCCCTACGAGTGCGCGTAGAGAACTCGCTTGAAGCCGGCAGAAGGTAAGAGCTGATAGCTGTGCCAGGAGGGCAGAGGTGGAGACACAATCACAGAGGCTTTGCTCTCATTGTTTGCTCTGTCGGGTCTTAAAGATGGTGCTCCAGCTCTTGCGCCTTTTTTGCAGGTGGTGGTTGGCGACTCCAGCGGACTAGTGACTGTCCGGTTAAACGGTGAGGAGGTCAAGGCAAGACGGAAAGCTCCGTCAGACTCAATGTGTATGCTCTTCATAACTCCAATTTGAAGGCTTTGGGAGCCGTCGGCGATGTGGTCGAGATCAGGAATGGTGCCGTCAAAATGACGAAGGCAAGAAGCCCGTCACCTCAAGCGGAGCATCACGGCTGCGTGGTGCTGTTGATTTGCTCCTGGATGGACTGTGGCTCAAGCATAGCTCCTTCGCACCATATCAGAGCCATACATGTTTTCGGCGTGCATGTCCACTTCAGCGGGAGCTGCAAAGGCAGCAAAGGAGAGGTGAGTCTGTTTGTTGCTCTCTGCGAACTGCTTCTGACATTCAGAAACAGACAGCCCGGACTTCGGAAGAGTCTTTGACCAGTCTCTGACTCTTCCCTTCACGCGGCTTGCCTTCGTATGTTTGGTGGTTGCTGGCAGGATGGGGCAATGCCCGTCATCAAAGTCAGAGCCGCGCAAGTCACGCATCCGCGTCCTATCCGCAAGTCCAAGTCAAGTCATTCCTGTTCTTCTTAGGTTTCTTACGAGAAAACCGAGGACTGGAGATCCAAAGTTTTCCGTGATGCAGCCTTTCCCAGCAGGAATTTCCGAAAAGGATGCAGACCCATTTCTCATGTGTGCTTGGGCTGCAAGCCTCCCACTTTCGTCTTGGGTCCTGGAGGGCAGTGGGGGAAGTCGGAGACTATCGGACTGTGCGTCAGACTGTCGCGTGTCCCGGCAGGCGACGAGTTTGGGCCTTCCGTTAGCTCAGGCGTGGAGACCCACCCAGCCACTTGGGAGAATGGATCGATTTTCGTTGGCGGCCCGTCATGCAACTCCCAGCAAGGGTCAACGAGCGGACCTGACCAGGACAAGTTTCCTGTGGCATGGCATCCTCACATGGGCATGGACCACCCGGGCGGATCGTATGCAGGAGCGGTTGCTTGCTTGCGCGGTTTGCGCGGTCCCGGAGGACATCATGACCTACATGCGAGAGGGATATGGCCGGCATGCAGATTCTCTCGGCAACCGAGAGACGTAGCGACCTCGTTTACGTCGAGGGAGTCTGCCCCAACGGCAACAGATCCGAGGTTCCAGGGTCCCGGTTTCCAGTGGATCAGCGTTGGCAGCGGCATCGAGCACGCTGAAGGCGGCGGCACCCCGAAAGGCCAGGTGTTTGTTTCAACGGTTTTTGGGGGGCTTACCACTTCTCGATGCCAGCTGCTGTTGCTGACTTTCCCTGCCTTGTCCGTTTTGGTTTGCTGTTGTGGTTTGCTCTTGCTCTGCGATCGAGCCACGTGTCGGTCAGCCGTCAGTGTTTCCACGTGTTTCCCAGTCTTGTAGTACTGTCTGTCGTTCGCAGCTTGATCCCTGCAGTCTTGTGCATCACTCGTCTTCCGAGTATCCTGGTTTGCCCTGCCCTGCCGCTCTGCCCACAGGGCAGGGGTCGGCAGGGCAGGTTGGCAGAACAATGTCGGTGGGGGAAACCGATTGTTCCTGACATGCACCCTCGTCATGCTACCGCAACCTGATACCTTTAATTGTCTACCTTCGAACCTGCGCAAGCTGTCTGTTCTCACAAGGAGAGACACAGCATGGCTTCCAGATTTGGCTGAATGTGCCAAAAAAGCACAAAGCCGATGATCCTGAGCCGCCTGGTGTGATTTCATTTTCCAGGCTTGCTGTTGCAGCCGTTTGTGACCCGTGGTGGTGCTTCTCATGCAGATACGGGACGGTCGACGAGAAGCTCTTGCCAGTTTTCGAATTGGAGGCAAATCTGCGCAGTGGCTTTTGCCATCTTTTCTCTGGTCTTTCTGTGCTGGAGGCAGGTGCCGGCCAGGCGCGACTTCTCGCGGGTCCCTATCATGGCCAGGCACCATTGGGGTTAGGATGAGCAGAAAGCGGCTAAACCATGACGTCAGAAGTCGAAGCTCAGAAGAGGGTGGGTTGCCTGCGATCCTGTGTTGCAGGCTGGCGCTTTCAGGACGAAGCAAAGTGTGCAAATGATCGATTTCGAGGCGCAGTCTGCAGCTGCCCGCAGAGCATGATGCCCTGATGCCCTGAGCTCTGAAACCAAGCAGATCCTGCCTGGATCCGCGGTGTGTCATTCCGTCCCGGAAGAGATGAATACGGTTCTGGTATACTGCTACAAAGGCGGGAGGACGGAATGTAAATGTGCCAGCTATTGCCTGATGATGGGAGGCCAGTGCCGCGTCGGTGCAGAGGGCAAAGTGCGACCGGACTGTACATAGTTACGGTGCACGTTCGTACGTGCGATTCATGTTTTGCCGGATTCAGTGTAAGCCGAAGTTGATTCAGAGGGTGCTAAGATATCTAAGAAGTCGCAAGAACAAGCCTTCAGGGTCTGTTTGGGCCAAGTGGCGCTAGCAGAAGCCCCAGGCTGCCCGCTCAGCATGTTGCTCGGCTGGATGCCAACAGGGCGGCCGACAGGAGCCTTCTGCTGGAAGCATCGGCCAAGGAAGCCTTGCAATGCCTTGCCGTCTGCAGCACCGCTCCTTAGTGCCTTGCGCTTGGAGCCGATGTCGGCAGTGAGGATGGCGCAAGTTGCCTGCTGTTTGCCGGCAAGCGCATCAATGAATCGATACTCGCTCGAAACTGCAAAAAGTAGGATGGCTCGCAGCCGGTTGCAGCCTTCAGAACCATGCACAGTTTGATAACTCCGGTCTTGATGAAAGCGAGGATTGCCTGGCACGGGCCATTTGTGGCAACCGACAAGAAGGAGCTGATGCTCGCCTTCCGTGCCTATCAGGCGGCTTATTTTGTTCCTTGATGGCCAGCTACGGAGAAGAAGCTTCTCCACTAAGGATGGCAAATTCCCACCAAAGCGAGTTCCGTGGGACTATCGCAAAGCCTCTGCGAAGCCAGAGTGTGACTTCCTTTGCAGATAAGTTGAGACATGTTCGGATTCAGTCAGACCATCTGTGTTCTGAAGCACTTCGGTGCCAAACTCTCTAGAGGCCTTGGCACAGTTTGCTGTTGGTCTCCGTTGCAGAAGCGCGTGTGCATTGTCATGAGGAGCAATCACCTGGCAGCGAGTGCATATCGTCGCCGATTCCTGGACATAAGATGGGATCACGACTGAGACCTTGTAAATACCGCAGGACATTGTCCTGCAGCCACACTACAACTTGCCGATCGCATTCACCCCGACGGGTCGTTATGGATCTCCTGTACAGTGCTCGGCAGTCGCCTGCGTTGTGTGGCCATCAAAACGACTTCCAGCGTGCCTCCTTGTCGCAGAGTGCTCAAGCTGCCAATGATCAAGCCGGTAAGATAGTCTGGTTAGCATGGCTCAGGGCTTTATCCGGCTCATCGTCGGCAAGCTCCAGCCTGAGAACTCGATACGTGCTCGATGGCTTGCAGTTTGCTGGCGCTCCAAACTCCGCAGGTGGGGCAAAGTTGCTAAACACGATGGTGACACCACCGTCACTCCCAACCAGGCGGTATGTTGCGAGCGCCTTGTGTGTGACCGTGTCTGCGTGCCGATCAATTGCAGTCGCGGGATATCTCCAGCACAGAGTATGAGCTCGTTGCAGCATGAATCTCTGAGGGCTGTGCTACTTTTTAATCTGGTCGTTCGTGTTTGCGATTTGGCCAACTGCCGAACGCCGAGTCTAATACTAGCACATATGCCGAGGATGTTTTGACCACGTAACAAGGCAGCCACTGATCGCAATTGCAGCATTCCAGAAATGGTGTCGCTGTTTCACGAGCTGTCGGGTGTGGAGGGGCAGGCTTTGTATGCAGGCAGATTTTCATGACAATTAGGCCTTTGTTGGTACAAGTTTCTGTGCGATGGTTGCTTATCTTGTCGAGCATACTTTTGGCAGGGAGTGCGGGGTCATGGATGCACTCTGCTTTGCAGCTCCACGCCGTTTCGTAGCAATTCGGGGACAGAACTCTGGTGTTGCAGCCCGAGTGCAAGCAACCCATTTATGGACTGCAGGCTTCGAATTTCTTTGATAGCAAGCGGTAAATGTAACTCCTTGGGCTGCATATCATACCTCGCAAGCAGACACAAGATCTCGGCAAGCTGTGCATCAACGCCACATGGGCCTGAAGTGGTTCCGATCATCTTGAAGAGGATCAGTGAGGTGCGCGATTGCCATGTGCTTGCAATGTGTTTAAGTAGACAGGACCTGTCGCATAGACGAAGCTATCTCACATATCTCGCGCAAAAGGTGCTGCAGTGCTGAAGGCCACTAGCATCCAAGCTGTTGAAGAGACTGTCAGTTTTTGTCGCTGGTTTCGGGCTGGGCTCGATGCCATCCATGCACGAGGGCCTCGGGGTCGGGACAGTATTATGCTGTAATACTCCGCTGACCGGAAGTCACTCTCAGACTTGGGCCGAGAGCCGTCCTCATACTTAGAGACGAGTTGTTCTAGTGCAACAAGAAGAAGATGTAGGTGGCCACCCAGAACATGAATGAGTTGAAGCTACCGTCAGATTGGCAGTCAAAGAGCAACACAGCACTCCTTGTGATACGGTGTCTCTGTGAAACTTCGCGCTCGCATTGAAAGATGTTCAGTCGAGGTGTGTGGGCTTTACAAGTCCTGCAGCTGTGATGTCGGGCCTGGAGCTTGTGGAAGCGCTGAACCAGTGGCACTGGAACAACAACTGCTTCCACGACCACGTCTTGCAGTTTGCGAAGAGCCATGAGTTGATTCTGAAATCGGATGAGGATGAGCATTCTCATGAGCTGTACCGGCTCCATGAAGAGTTCAGGCAGCTGCTCGAAAGCTTTGTTGCGAGCTTTCTGGACCATTATGGTTCAACTCTACAGGATTTGGAGGCTGCGCTGCTTGAGGCGCAGGCCTCGGACGACTTGTACATCACGATGAGTTCTGAAGTTGTTCGGGAGGAGCTCTTCGCGTTGCTGGATTATCAGGCCTTCCATAAGACAATGCTTCGGGCAGTGGCAATGGATGCAGAATCGCACCGGCCAGTGGGTGCTGCTGCCGATGATCTGGGGGACTCGTGCAATGCTTCGGCTGTGGAGTCTGCGAAAGCGGGGTCGGCAAGGAGCAATGGATACTTATCATAGTATTCGTTACATCACAGCATCACAGCAGCACGGAAGGGACGACCTGGAGAATCAGAACCTTTTCTTCTGCCGGGGGAAGAGGTGTGCAGGAGCATCTACCTCGTCGATCCCGAAGCGCGCTGCCGAACATTGCCTGCACTTAGTGAAGGATCGTCGTCAGAGGAGCAGGAGCTGGAGAAGATGGAGGCGGCTGAGGCTGAGATGCTTGCATACTACAATGCACAAGTCAAATCTACGAAGTAGAAAAAATGGGAATCCATTCTGATTCAGATCATAAGAGTCTATAACAAGATCAATTGAAATCAGATATCAAGATGATCTTCACTTCAAGAATCAATCGTGATGGGTCGAGTAGAACGTGTAGCGACAGATCGAACACCGGGAAATCGAAGTCAAGCCGCCGTGCTTGGGAAAATGATGCTTGGATGAGCTTTGATGTATTTAGCATAGTGGGTCGTACTATAGTTTCCGAATAGGAAAATCTATTCATAAAATCTACTAAGTCTATAGAAAATCAAGTATTTGAATATATGAATATTTCTGAAAATTAGGGTACCCTATTTTGGGATCTTTACAATAAGGATCTTATTATTTAAGATTCTTATAAATAGATCCCCTATTTTATCAAATCTCCCGATATTAATAAACATATGATTATATATATATATAAAATCGTAAATATCTTTTAAATTATTCTGATATAAAGATATATTCTGATATGGAAAAAAAAAATATATATATATATAGAATTGATTAATAAAATATATGCAAATATATCAAGAAATTCATAATTAAATAAATAAATAAATAAATAAATATATATATATATATATTATAGATATAGATATTTAAATCTAGATAATTAGAAATCGATATTTATTTAAATTAAAAAAGATCGAGATTTAAAAAATTTTGATAGATGCTTAGATAGATATAGAAATAGAGAAAAAGATAGATGCTGATAGATAGATATATAATCACATATATAGAAGATCATATAATCGATTATTTAGATATATTCATAGGTAAATATAAAACCCAACTTTCGATAATTTTACTTCTCTCTTATAGATAAAAAATAAGATAGACGCACCCAGAGGGATATATATATTTAGAGAGAGATGCATACTTAGATCCATATCTTTAGAAATAGACACAATAATATATATACATATCTATAGATAGATCTACGACGATACCTATATTTAGAAAATACGGCACTAGAATTCACGATTTTAAATCTGGAAATTCTATCATCATAATTAAAACAATAACGAATTTTAATGTTCGCGAACATGCCTCCCATAAATCCTAGAAATCTTATTATCACATAAAGGCAGAGATAGAAATAGAAATCCTTTAGATATTAAGATAGACATGCAGGCCAATTCACGAATAGATTTATAGATAAATCTAGAGAGACAAATAGATATAGAAATATTCATATAGACAGATACCCAGATAATCACTCAGATAGATATATAGAAAAATGCAGAGAGAGAGATAGAAGGACTCAAGGATAGATTCATAGACAGATCCATAAGATCCATAGAGAGATATACAGAGAGATATACAGATAGATAGATATATACGTATTCAGAGATAGATACCCGGAAATATTTATACAGACACACAGAATAGACACACAGAGACGCACCCACACATACCCAGACTTACAACAGACACGATTACATTCAACAAATACGGCGCTGGAACTCACGATACTAGAATCATAGAAATATCATTAGCACGAATATATCTATCCCAGAAATTTATGAGCACGAATATATCTATCAAAAATCCTGGAAATTCTATGCTCGCGAATATATCCCTATCAAAATATTAAAAAATTTATAATTTCAATCTCATCAAGTTTCTTCAAAATTATAGATATATTTTATTTTCAGAAAAGAAATCTATATACCATTAAAATTTCGAAATTGAAATTTCATGAGATAGATATTCAAGAGATTTTCAAGAGAAAATATTTTAAAAGATCAAATCATAGGGATTTAGGGATACGCATAGAATCATAGATATATATAGCACGAGATTTATTAATTTGCAGAGAATTATTGAATATATTTATATATTATTATTTTTCTTATTTTTCTTTTCAAAATTTTCATAAGTAGAGATTTCATTTATAGATAGATAATTTCGAATAATATAATTATTAGATATATGAGATCTGAGAATATATTAAAAATATAGTCTGATCAAATAATAATAATAAATCTTGAATTAATGATCTCTCAGCTTTTATAA